TAACGCACATACAGATCCAACTACATTGGCCTATACACATACAGCACAGCAATGAAGTAATAAAATGAACTAGGATCACAGTAATCCAGCACGTTATTAATCTCACGTGCCCCACTCAATATGGCCGCCGCTTGAGTGGGACAACTCAGAATAATAACGTGCTGGATTAGTGTGATCCTAGTTCATTTTATTACTTCATTGCTGTGCTGTATGTGTATGGGCCAATGCCTTTGCTGGCGCTCGTGCAGAACAAGTACTCACCGGCACAAGTGGCTCCATCGGCTAACGAAAGGAAGGGGGAGGAGTCCGGTGACGTCACGGACATCGATGTCATCGGACTCCTCCCAGCGCAGCAATTCACAGACAGGGACAGTTGTCCACACTTTAATAGGTAGTACCTGAACATGGACCTTTATGTCATCATGTATTATTTTAATGAGTTGAAAAGCTTGAATATTACTTCTAAAATTACATTAACATGGTAAAGGTAATATGAGATTTTTGTTATTTATAGTTTATATCTCCTATAAGAGAAATATGGGGTTGCCATTGCTAAATTCCTTTTGAAAATGCTAGATACCAGACTGTTATGCTGACCCACTGACCCTGAATCATTATGAACTCTATCAGTCAGAGTAAAGTCCTTAGCTGCATGCTGGGATAATGACTAAAAGTTCTAATGCAAGAGGATAAGAATGACAGCCAAGCACCTAGCATTATCAAAATTAGTTTCTCTAAGGAAATTATCCTTTTAAGATTGAAAAGACTGAAGTTAGGTTCAGGCTTGATACTGGAGCAGGGATTAATGCACTACCAGTTGCACATGATAATTCACTGTCAAATACTGTGACAGCTTAACCTACTAGAATGTTAGCATCATATGATGATACTAAGCTGATACCCAAAGGATTTGCAAAATAGCAAGTGACGGTCGAAGGTGAGAAAATCGGCCTACAGTTTTTATTACATGTAATGACTCGGTGAGTCATTTCCCGTACCGGCACCTGCTCCTCCCCAGCCCGCCTCCGCCCGTCCATGCTCCGTCGGCTAACGAAGGGAAGGGGGGAGGAGTCCGGTGACGTCACGGACATCAACGTCACAGGACTCCTTCCCTTTGTTAGCCGACGGAGCAACTTGGGGAGGAGTCCGGTGACGTCGATGTCTGTGACGTCACCGGATGTCCGACGGAACTGCAGGAAGACCTGGAAGCCGGCGGAGAGGTGAGTACCATTCAAAAAAAGTTTAATCGATCAAAAAAATTAACGATTAATCGAAGAATTAATCGTTCATTTTCGCAGCCCTAATATATATATATATATATCTATAGATCTATACTTGGATCTATGGTTATCCTATGGGAAGTCATTTTTAAGTGTTTTTAAATGTCTTGTTGAAGGTGTTTCAATGTGTTTATTCGGTTACTATTAAATTGTGATACTTATACATACTCCATATGTGTAAACCTGTTTATTAGATCAGCTCCTATTAGGGATTTCTGTGCATAGGGGACTTTCTAGTGTAACTAAGTTTTATTGAAACCCTGGAGTTTGTTTTTCACTTTAGCTGTATTTTGCATAGCTCACTTTGTTCCCCGTAGTTTTTGAATAGATAGATCTATCTATAGATAGATCTATCTATAGATAGATCTATCTATAGATATATCTATATAAATATATATATACCATCAAAAGATAGGGTAAAGTGACATAACAGAAAAAGATGCAAATTAATAGAGAGTACTTTTTCCTCTGCTATTTTTATCATCTGCACATCTGTTGATATTTACTATGAACTGATGAATTTAGTGATTTCTGCAGCTCACTGTATTAGACATGAAATCCTAAGTGCCGGTAACCAAATACATATAACTTTGGTAGCAAATTTAGTCATGACTAGGCACCTCTTTATATTCCTTTTTCCTATTTAAATTGCACATGATGTCTCATAATTTCCTTCTTACTGCCTAGTTGTATTAATGTATTCATGTTCACTAGCTATATCTATGTAAATTTGTCTGTGTACATGGGAGAGTACAAGAGTGAATTCCCATTATCATGACTGCTGCTAATGCAGAGAGAATACTCATTATGCAGGAGCGTCTGCTCGTCAGATTTGTGATCCTCAGCGTTCTCAGGACCTTGCTGGAAGGCCCGTGATGTCACCCTCTCATATATGCCGCGTGACAGAAGCGAAAAAATAGCTAAGGCTAACTGTGATGTGCTTGATTTGGAAGGCTGTGTCTCTGCCTTCTATTGATATATGATTGTGTGACTAAAAATTGCTAGATTGTAGCTGCGCAGTTAGAAATCTCATTTATAGTCGTAGCCCAACAGCCTTTAGTAAACAGTGGGATCTGTACCTTGATTCTGTAGTTAGCTGGATATTATTATTATTATTATACAGGATTTATATAGCGCCAACAGTTTGCGCAGCGCTTTACAATATAAGGAAGACATTACAATCACAATACAAATCAAGACAAGATGGTAAGGAGGGCCCTGCCGGTGAGGGCTTACAATGTAAAAGGGAGAGGGAATATGGTTTACATTGTATATTTTTTAAAGATAACATCTATACCTTATCACTTGATCCTGGAATTCTCCTATCAACTGATCTATCCAAAAGGCACCACTGCTGTAAAGCTGAACTAAGGCTTCATTAAAACTATAGTGTTATGTAAACACTAACAGGGTTACTCACAAAGCTGCCGAAGGCAGCCGAGTGAATGACCCAGCCGAAGTGAAGTGAGCCCAACACATATCTCAAGCTGCAAAGAATTTTGCTTTGCAAAGAATATCTTCAAAACTAAATTCCTATGCCTCTTAGATGGAGCTAAGGAGCATGCAAAATATTCTTATGCTCCTTAGCTCTATTTAATGGCCATAATGCGGCATTATATTATATATAATTGTTTTACAGCAGCGCCCTAAAAGTAACACTGTGGTAGGGAGACAAGCACAATAATAATGCAGCCAAAGCTTTAACTAGCTATCACAAATTAAAATCTTTTTTTTTTTACTTTGGATAGATTTGTCTGTGTCAAAGTGAAAAAGAGCAAAAAAACACAGCAAAATGCATGCAAAAAAGAAGCATCATTGAAACCAACATTAGAGTTAACCTTTTATAAAGAGTGTAGTTCTTGTAGAATACTTGTCTTTTTGATTTTGAATAGATTGCTGAGGGGTTGTCAGGATTTTATGGTTTCTGACACGGCTCCATGTCAGAATAAATAAAACAAAGAGAAAAATCAGTGTTTCTCTCCTGGGCGGCCAGGAGCGGGAGACTCCCAGAGAGGTTTTTTTTTTTACTTTTTTTTTTTACGGCAGCAGAACCGCCGGCCAACAGAAAACTATTGGGTGGAGCTAGCTGTCATTGCTAGCTCCACACAATCGTTTTCTATTTATTTTTTTGGACTTTTTAAACAATTTTTCTGTTCTACTCGTTCCCTCTGAGGGACCAAGCAGAACAGCCAAGTCGAATGCCGCTCAGTGGCATTCAGCTATTCACTCACTGGTGTTCGGCATCTATAAGAATAGACCAAACAGCAGTGAGTAGACTGCCGGAGGTTCGGCTCAGCCGATCCAGATGTTGGATCGGCTGAGTCGAACTCTTCCTGCACTTTGGGGTGGCCAAACATGCTGAGCATGTTCGGCCGACCCGAAGCCACGTGAAGCCACCCGATGTATGGCTGATTTAGGCCGATATACAGCTGAAATAAGCCGTACCAGCCTGAAGTGAATAGCCGAACAGCGTTCGGCTCACTTCACTTCAGGTTGGTCTTTCACTTGGCTGCCTACGTCAGCTTAGTGAATAGACCCCTATGTCTCCACTGGATGGATTTCCCTTCACTTCCTGTCCCAGTTCTAACACTGGTATACTAAGAATGTTTTATGTTTGCATGTCTTCCCATTGGGAGTTTTCCCATTTACTTTGTTACTTAATGACCACATTTTGGGTTTGGCCAAGGATGTCTTATGTTTCTATATAAAATAGTACATCTTCTACTATGCAAAACACAGAAGTTTCCCAGCACACTTACCAGCCAGCCTGCAACAAAACAAATTACTATACATTGCCTAACAATATGCCTTAAAAACAGAGGTTTTAGTTGCACAACGTTTACTTCTGCTACTACTACAGTGATATAAACTTATTTAACTTATTTGGCCATGTGTTTTTTTTTTTTTTACAGTCTGCTGAAAATGTTGGTAGACAAGCCTCATAAACTACACATATACAGTGATGCCAAGAATATTGAGAGTGGTAAGTCATTAAGTCATATTGTGTATCTTTAAAATATTCTTTGTTAAAATGTTATATTAAATATGTCTTTAACATGTTAGGCATATGTTTAAAAAGACATGATATTTATTTAAATCTCTGTGGCCACTTATAATTACCGAGGCCCAAGTTGCAATGGGGTTGATTTATTAAGAGAATGGAGGCTGTTTACTAGCACAGTGAATGTTAGTGAATAAGGTCAAGTTGTGTTCATTTTAAATTCCCAATCATGTGTTAGAAAATCCTACTTTCTTAATTTCCTTTGCAATTAATTGTGTATTCAAAGTTAACACAGCTTGTTCTTGTTTACTACGCTCAGCAAACTTTCATTTTGATAGGGGAAAAGCCTCTGTTTATGTTCTAAATCAACTCTAATGCCTACTTCGAGCCATATGGCCACCTAGCTTGTACCGCCCTTCCTTGTTGTCAATCTTGTCCGGGTGGTACTATAGCATTGTTTCTTTCTTTTAGGGCCTGTTCACACCAGATGCAGTGTGTTCCAGCCCAATTCTAGCCAGAATGCACTGCCTTGCATTATGGCCGGCTCATTTTCTTGTGGGGCAGGAGGAAGTGAATGGCACCATAGCCACACCCTCCGGCTGCAATGCGATCGGTCGCATGGGATCGCAAGGCACATTATGTTGCAGCATTTTGATCGCACCGGACCACAGGCATAATGTGCATTGCGATCCTGTGCGGCCGATCGCATTGCAGGCGGAGGGCATGGCTACTGTGCCATTCAATTCAATGGCCTGCCAAGCCCCCTCCTGCCCCACAAAAATGAGCCGGCTGCAATGCGAGGCAGTGCGTTCTGGCCAGAATAAGGCCGGAACACACTGCATCTGGTGTGAACAGGCCCTTATTGCTGATTTGCATCTGTCCTAATGAGTAGTTGACAGTTACAAAACCATGTTTTTTATGTGCTATTCACAGACCATATTCTCATCAAAGAGAAAGCTTAACATTCCAACTTCCTTGGTTCTTGAAGCACATGAACCATTTGTCCCTTTTCTAAGGCTTCATGGAAACCACATATTCCCACCTGATTCACTCTTTTTTATAACATTTATTTTAATAAGGATAACAGGACAAAAAAACAATAGTTATATGTCAAAGAGAAAAAAAATAGACTGAGCAACAGCAAATATAGTAAGCTCTCAGTTATCCAGTATTCAACTAACTAGAATTCTCATCTAACCAGAAAAGAAATCCCCTGTGTACTCATTGTTTTGCTCATCTGCAGCATGTATTATACTGGAAATGATCGTGTGTCTATTTGTCTTAGTTTGCTTTTGATTACTGCATTTCAATATTAATATGAAGTCAATACAGAGTTTATGTTATGGTATTGTATAGTATTGGGTACGACATTAGTTAGACCTATTTTTTATAGTAACTCTCAAGCAACCAGAAACTACATTGATCCGGAATCTACCAATCACTGTGGATGCCGCATAACGGGGAGTTTACTGTACATTGAAGTAATTTAGTATGTTTAAGTGTGGAGCACAATATTCTGTGACTTAAATAATAGCTGTGTCCTTTGCTGACATGGAAAATGGTGTATACAAAGTTTTGTTGGTGGTTTTATTTTTGGTTGTCACCTATTTACAGTATGTATTAATTTTTTAGTTGCTAGTCTTGAATAGTTTTTGAATCAGAACCTTAAATTTAGTTTGAGAGTTTAACAGTCAAAATGTTTTCAAGTTAGGCTAGTATAGATTAGGACCTTTAGTTAGAGCAGAACTGGGGAAAATCATTCTTAACACTAGTGCTTTAGGGCTACCCCTGCACTGCGAGGGTTAAGTGTAGATTTTGTCTAGGTTAAAAAAATAAACGTTTCTCATTCGATATTCCGAGCTGGCTTGCTCTTAGGCCGGTCCCTTCTGCTTGTCGATGGTATGTCGCCTGGTGTCCTCACGTCCTATACACAGTGCATAGAACGTGATGACTTACTGGACCTTAGACCGCTGCAGTGGAGCGGAGAGTCAGGCAGAAGGGACCAGTCTAAGAGCAAGCTGGCTCAGAGGATCGAGTGAGTATAACTGTTATTTTTTTAACCTAGACCAAAACTAGCACTAAACTTTTGTGCAAGGGTTATTATTATTATACAGGATTTATATAGCGCCAATAGTTTGCACAGCGCTTTACAATATTAGGAGGACATTACAGTCAAAATACAATTCAAGACAAGATGGTAAGGAGGGCCCTGCCCGTGAGGGCTTACAATCTAAAAGGGTTAAGAATAATTTCCCCTGGAGTTCTACTTAAATGGATTCAAAGCAGACATGTCATATCGGTGTTTTGGGGCCTCTTGTGGCAAACGTAAAGGTTTGCCTAGGCCTCGTTCACACCATTCTCAGTGCGTTCTGACCCGATTGTGGCCGGATTGCACTGGATCGCATTGTGGCCGGCTCAGTTTGTTGTGGGGCGGGAGGGGGCGTGGTAGTCCATTGAAGTGAATGGCATCGCAGCCTCTGGCCGCAATAACGCAAGGCACATCAATGCCTGCAGTCCGGTCAGAAAAAATAGTGCTTGCAGCATTTTTTCTGACTGCACCGGACCGCAAGCATTGATGTGCCTTGCGTTCCCGTGCAGCGGATCTCATTGTGGCCCTCAAAAACGCTGACATACATACACAACCACAGACACAATCTCACACACTCACAGACATTATCAAATACACAGTCGAAAAATGTTTTAATTTAATTTAAAGAAATTTAAGGTCCACCCAGTCTCCCTACCTTACGAGGACTAGAGTGGATCCTCAGTCTGGGGTCCAGTGTGGGCTGCTGTGCTGTGATGAAGGTCCATCCATATGTTCATTGCTTGTACAGATACCTTGCGCGCACTGTGGAGGTGCCGGGAGCCAGAATGTAATGTCACCATGATACCTCTATAGGATTTGTGAGGGAGCTGTAAGCAGTGCACGTATGGATGGAGCTCCCTCATGGCCATAGCCTCTCCCCTAAAAAAGTGGAAGGCATGCGGTGACCCACTGAACATGGGGTAGCAACCTACTTTTGGGTCATGACCCACCAGTTGAGAACCAAGGCTCTAGTTGGATAACCTTCTTCCGTCTCCCATATGATATCACTGGCCCAACACCAAGCACCATCACTATCACATGAGAATAAAAGAAGTATGGATGCTCCCTTTTATCCAGAAGTACAGGGTATTTTCTTCTTTACTGGTGGCTGAATGCAGTGTCGGGGGTGTGAAGAAAAGGTGAGAATATGCTGCTAGACAGGGGAGTGTTAAAGTAAACTTGTTGATTTCTTTTGCATGGACAAAGCAAAGAGTTTAGTTTAAGTATATTTTGGGTGATTGAATAGGGACTTGGCAGACATTCCTTCGTGTGCCAGCTAAAGACTGCCTTTCATGTTGGCTGTCCTACTTTACTCCCTCCTGTACTGTAACTATCTATCATGTGCTTGCAGATATTTTGCAGGGCATTCTTAAAATTAAAAGTGCTGTGTTACAAGTTAGGTTTACAGAAAGAAAATACTTCAGAATTTCATCACTTCTGAAGACTATTTAGATTAAGAGTATTGTATTCAACCTGGTATTGAAACATTTACAACAATTATATTGTCTGATTATAGAGATTCTAAAATTTAAAATGCTGCTGTTAGGTTTCGCAAATCCCATACATTAAGCCATAATAGACGTTTATTATCTCTCTTTTTATGTCACAAGTTAATGTAACAGCGACAAAATTTTTACACAAAATGTCAGTTTTCAAAGGCAAGAACTTGAATTATCTAGTAAGACATCAGTGCTTGTTTTGTTGAGTTTTCCTGAACACATAAAAGACTATATAAAATATTCTTACTGTGTACCTCAAAGATGCATAAAATACATAAAAATAATTGAAATGTCATGGGTATTGGGATGCACAACAGCTTTGTCCTGATACTTGATAAGTACATGCTTGTTCCAGGTCATTGACAAGTATTGAAGGAGTAATAAGGAGAATGGCCCCAGTGCTTGTGCTTTCAAATACAAGTCAGCAAATGTATAACCTTATAGATTAATTGTGAGATCATACCACAGCATTTTAAAGGGTCATTTTAAAGAACAGAACTCTAACATATTTTTTTACAAATACCAAACTTCTATTTGAAACACTATGTTGTAGATCTGGTTTTGTGTCATGTTTCATGGACCAGCTTCTCTAAATTTTGGATCACATGAATTTTTACATTCTACTTTAGAGCTTCCTTCAGGCACTGAGGCATCAAAGTAGTACCATGGTATTCTATATAGTCCACCCTTCTTCACAGTTGGTGTGATGTTCTGGTGTTCGTATGTAGTGCTTTTATTCTGTCATATATAATAGTTTGATAATTTGTACTGGATTGCATAGCATACCTTTGCAGCAGTATTTATAGAATGCCGAGTAAAACAGTGTTATTGAATTACTTCCATTTTTTAAACTTTTGGCTTGACGTTCGTCTGATGGAGACACGGGTCTTTACAAATTCTTTTTTGACCTTTCAAATTTTTTTGGGCCATATTGTACTTGGGCCAAATTGTACAGAATTTTGTGAAGTACATGTAACCAAAATTCTGTTATGTCTTTTATATGGGAGGGTAGCTTGAACCCTCACCTAAACTAATTATTTCATACAAGTAAAAAGATTTTCAAGCCATTTATGCAGAATTAAAAAATATCTACCTACAATGTATGCAGTTTTCAGGTGGTATGTGTACTCTAAACCTCTGCATTCTGTAGCTGGAATATGTTGTAGATTTGTGACCATTTATGTGAAAGGATACTGTATACATTTTACAAGTGTGTAATCCGCAAATTATAAGACATTCTGTGCCAGGAACCCAGTGCTAGAATTACCACCAGAACAGAATTCCTTCCCCCATTTTCTAAATGTAACTTTAACTTAAACAGGCAGCTGAAAGTTTACACTGTTTAGAGATGTAGTTGGCTGCTGCAGATCTCTTAATATAAATCACATACAGCC